TCCCTCATCTAGTGAAAGCCCTGTGAGTCAGGGCCAAGCAGGACCTAGAACTGGTACCCTCATTCTATACTCAGTATTATGTTTTCCTGTCTCCAAACATATAATTATCAGAGACGTGTAGCATTATAGATCAGGCAAATCATGACTCCAGAGATCCTAATGGGGAGCCCCATCTTTTGCTGGCATGGCAATATTGAAATTTTGTAAGGAAAAATAGTTACAGTTTCTAGGAAGACATAGAAAGCTGTCATGCTGGCAAAAATAGGCAGGTGTTTGCTTTACCTTCATCTGCTCTGTGGTGATGACATCCACATGTTCTTTTGTTATATGTCAAAGTCCTTGCTAGTAGAGTAGGAAAGAGTTGAATTTGTAAAGTCTTGGAAAGTTTTTTCATTTTGCTTTTTTTCACTTTACATTTCAGCAATACTGAACTATTACTATGTCCTCACATACATCATGCTCTGTCATGCTTTCATGCTTTTTCTATATGCCCGGAATGCTTGCCTATTAGACGAATAATTGATTAATTGCTTGATTGATTAGAGACCCCAGCTAATCCAGCTGCTTTTGTGAAATCTTCCCTCATTCTCCTAGTTGGACTTAGATCTTCTGTCCCCTCCTTCTATTGCTGTACAACAAGTGACACTTTTATAGAGCAGATGTGACAAATAATTGTTTGCATGCTTCCCTTAGTATGAGCTTGTAAGTTCCTTGAGGATAGGAGGTGTATTCCGTCTTTACATCTCTAGCACCTAGCACAGCATCTGGCACTTAGTAGGTTCTCAAAACCATTAGTTAAATTTGTTGAATGTGTCCACAAGGACCTCACTGACTAGTGGAAGGGCAGATAGGTGAACCAAAAACCAGGGTATATTGTGGCAAGTACTGTAATTAAGGGAGTGGGAAGTGCTACAACAACATAGAGAAGAAAGGGATTGGTAGATTATGGATGGCTTCATAAAGGCAGTGCCATTTGAATTGAACATTAAAGGCAAAGACATGGAGGTATGATGCTGCCTAGGGTGTTGGAGAAATGACAAGGAATTTGGTATGACTCAGGTGGAAGATTCTTGGAGAGTAAATTGGTGCAAGATGAACCTGGTAAAAGATACATATCTGATGAAGACCAGAGACCTTGAATGTCAGGCACTGTTCTTCTGAATTATGTATTCTATATCAAAGAACTGTAGAAGATGTTGATAATTCCTTTGGAACAAATTTTTTTTAGAGTATCTGTAGAAGTGAATACCTTCATGAGTTATTGCTTCATTTTGGAAAACATCGGAAAGTCTCTAAACTTTGTATATTAATTATTTAGCAATTTGTCAAACCAGATATGAGGCAACCTGGGGGCACAATATTCATGGCAGATTGGCAAATGCAAAGGCTCTAAGTCAGTCTTCTACTGTCTTATATTTTCCTTTGCTTCATCAAATAAGGCTTATCATCCAAATAAAAATATAACCTCCTAGAGGGCAGAATTCACACTGTGTATTTTTCAACCCCTCTTATTCCAGGCAAATAGTAGGAACTAACATTGTATCCATTGAAATGAAATGAATTGGTTAGTTCCTATAGTTATTAACACCAGAAATATTTCAAAGTGTTGAAAACTGCATAATCAGGTGAAGGAAAAGTATTTTTATAACTTCTAACCTTAGGTATACTGAGGGTCTGGAGTGAGCCAAACTTCAAAGCAGCCTTTCCTTTTTAGAGGGTTGTTATCACATGTCAAACACTGATTTCCAGTGTCTTTACTGGTAGAATAATTGAAGGTTATCAAGGTTAAATTAAACTTGGGAGAAATAACTTTTCACTTATTTGAGAATCTAAGAAGTATTAATTAGCTATGTAAATAATATCACATAAAGTATTAGCATTGTTCTTCAGCCAACTGCTAGGTACTTGGTATTTATTATTCTTTTTGCCATTTATATATATTTTAATATATGAGCCAGTTCATAATACAATTGGACATAAAAATAAATGGTATGGTTTGTGTCAGAACTCAACGCCGGTTTACAAATTCCAATTTGTAGTTACGGCACTGTTTGGAGTTTGTTGCTGTGACTTCTTATTACTTATTGCTTTAACAGTGTATTGGTTAACAAATCCCAAATGCATATATGACACAAAGGTTCAACTATCCGTTTCCCTTTGTGATTCTTTATAGGATCGAGTAACTCATTATGTAGTCAAGCTCCTTAAGAAACTTTAAAGCTGTTTGCCTACTTGAAGGAAGGCACTACTAGCAAGCCTGATTGTGCCACTGTTTCTTCTGGGTACGCTAGACTTCTGAAGAAACATCCTTCCTCTAGAATTCATATTCCCTAAGACTATCAAAATGTTTGATGATTGTGTTACTGGTAAATGTTTTTATGCATATCTCTTTGAACATTGTTAGTGCTCAGTAAATATTAGACTATCAAAAGGAGAACATATTTTTAAACACAAGTTGGTACCTTAGTGTATTAAACTACTTCCCCGCTTTGGTTATTTTTCATCCTTCGCTAAGACAGTAACTTTAAGAACATCATGCTTTGGCTTACTATGTATTCCAGACACTTCGTGAAATGCCATTTCTTTCTTTATCTTTCATCCTACACTGTTACATGAGAGGACATACCTTATTTCAGTGAAATCTCAGGGTAACCAAGGATTTCATTATGGTATATACTAACATCAAAGCATTTTTGTTTGATTTAACAGAGAACAAGAAACTAGTATACAACTACAGGAACCTTCCCCAGGAAATAAGAGGCATGTGGCATGTGTAATTGTCTCTTAAAATGACTAAGTTACAAAACTGTCGTGCTCTTGGTTGTGCCCATTCTTTCTGAAGTGAAGATGTCCCACTTTCCTTATCTTTTATTCCTTCAGCTGGCATCATTGGAAACACATTGATTGGGAGATTTAGAGACAAGTGATTCTGATGGAGATATTGGAACATGATAGCCTGGCGTTTTAAATCTTTACAGATTTACCCTTCTACATGGCACTTATCCTCTAAAAACTTTATGCCATACTGATTTTTACATTATATCCCTTTTTTAAAATGTAGTGTGGGCAATGAAAAGTAATGTTGCTCCATTATGGCCAGATCCTATGTAACAGAGGTAGGAATCCTCCAGGAAAAGCTGTGAGTTTGTGCGTGGCCAATTTGGAAAGTGGATAATTAACTAAAAATTTTTATTTCTAAAAATGTCCAAAGAGAAATTAGACATGTGAGGAATACCTTGCTTCTTGTTGCATATTATCTGAGTGTATCATAGGCTCATAGGCTCTGTTTTAAGATGTGGCCTACTTTATTGATAGTGGATTATTTTACTTATAGTGGTTTATCTGGCTGCTTCTTCCTTATTTTATTTTACTTTTGCCTCACTTGCCCCTCCTTCACCTCCTTCTCTCCTCTCTCTCTCTCACAAGTGCACACACACACACACACACACAAATACACATTTGTTGAGTGATTTTGAACATTAGGGATACAACAGAGGTATACCTCTGAGTCTTGATGAGTAATGAGTAATCATTCTGCATGGAATGAAGAAAAGCTATGTTTGATTTTTATGTTTTTATCTCAAATGTTTTTTCTTTATTTTGTTATTCTTTGTGGATATTTTGGTCCTTTATTTGAACCGTGCATAAACATCATTTTCCTCATCATGACTGAACTATATTACTTAAGAAAGAATATTTCACAGAAACAGAACAATTAGTGGAGAGCATTAGAGCAGTAGTACTTAGGGGGGATTTTTAAGGCTTAAGTGAAAAGCAGTAATCGTAAGTGGGAAATTGAAAATAGTAAGTAAGCATGTGAATGAGCCTTTTTGAATTCTAACAAAATATCACATTTCCTTCCATTTTAGCCTCTGTCTTCCATGCCCGAGAGTACCGAGATAACAAAAAGACAGAAGTACTACAGCAGTGACAGCAGCTATGGTAGTAGCAGCAGCTCTTCAGAATCAGAAGAAAATGAAAAAGAAGAGTACCAAAATAAGAAAAGAGAAAAGCAAGTTACATATAATCTTAAACAGTCCAACCACTACAGATTAATCCAACCATCCAGTAAGTTAATTTCTTCTAATTTAGTTGTTATGTGAAAAATTATGGAACTGAAATTACTGAACTCAATAAAAAGACCTTGGGCCAAATGAACCCTTGTGTGTGAGGAGACCTGGATTCTATCCCACTTCCTTCTCCAACCAGACCTTGATTAGGTCTGGATCCCACAACCCTTTTCGGGGTCTGCAAATAGAAAACAAAAGAGTTGACTTAAGGATCTCTACAGTCCATTCTTCTATATTTCAAAGTTTTTGTTAAGTCCTAGATTTCTGCATGAATTGTATAAAATGTGCCTCATGGTTGATCTGATGACTGCATTCTCTTTTAAGCCCAAATATTCTCTCATTGCATTCCCCACTCTGGCACTCATTTTGTTTCATATTCTTGCCTGTTTTTAAAAATGTGTGTATCTCCCTAGGCATTTGACTTGAATGTATCTGTGAGCCACACAATTGTGAAATAGTTGGAAGTTTTGTTCCCTCCCATTTTCATCACGGGTAAGCACTTCAGTCAGGGCTTCGGTGTATAGGAAGGAAGTATTCAGGAGAGGAACCAACCAGCTTCTCTGTCTCCTTCCTTTCCTGCTGCCTTTTTCCTCTTTCCTCTTTTATTCCTTTTCCCATTTTCTCTCTCTTCCATTCTCCTGTCTTTCATTCCTTCTTCGATCCCAAATGTCCACTATTGTGTCTGTTATTCTTCTTTCATCCCCAGATGTCCAGTGTGGTACTGCTGTTGCCCAGGCTCAGTCGGATACCCCTTCCTGATGCTGCCTCCAAAGCAGGACTTTTCTTAACCTCTGTTTCTCATCTCGCTGTTTGCCTTGTCCTCCCTCGTCCTAGGGCTCCACAAAGGGACCAGTCCAATCACGTGATAAACACATTTCTGAGCCTTTGTTGCTCTATCTCCAGCAATGGTTTAATAGTTCCTGCTAATATGTATGTTTTAAAACTGGCCTTCCAGACTTATGAGAAAATGCATAAGGAATGTACACCTAATAGTTGAAGATTTTTAATGGTCTTTCTTTTACTTCCAAATTATTCCATAAAGATACGTGCTAAAGTTCCTGTCTTTGAGGGCTTATGTGTTTGGAGGGGAAATAATGTATTATGTTCCATTTCATTTGTTTATTTACTCCTTTAATATATGTTTATTGAGCACCTGTTCCAGAGTTTGTAAGCTATTTTATCTATTATTTCCCTTTTTCTTAAAGACTCCTTAAGTACTTTCAGTGCATCTCTGTGTAAATATGGCTCTGTTTCTCTTTTGGAAGCTGACATTGTTCTGCCCAGATTTTGTCAGTTTTGGAGCCCCTTTCCTATTGGCTAATGTGTGTATCCTTAACAGCAGGAACTGACAGAGGATAAGGGTAGTGGTGAGAAAAAATTGCTAGGGCTCCTATAGCTCTGAGATTCTTCTTTCTTCTCAGACCAATAGGTTGATAAATTGAGATCAGACAAAGAGTGTACTAGAAATGTTTTTAAGTATAAATTCACACTTTAAAGCTAGTCTATTTCAATTAATATCTTTTTCCTTATGGTTATTTGTTTTTATAGTCATTAAGAATTGCAAAAGGGTTTCAATTTGTTTTATATTCCCTCTTTAATCTTACACTAAGGAATATTTTAGCCACAAACACTCCTTGAGTTTTCTCTACAAAGGGATGTTGATAACCGTGGACAAAAATCCAGATTATGTACAATGCTTTCTGTTGTAGATAGTTAATTTAGGCAATTTAAAATTGTTACAGTACCAAAGGATATATTTAGATTTGATATATGGTAGTCCTACGCAAAACTATATGAAGTATTTTTTTCTCAGATAATTTGTGTATGCAAGTTTCAACCATTTTTTGTTAATCTACTTAAGTATCATTGGCATGTCTAGCTATTTTAGTTATTCTGCCTGAATTCTAGTGTATGCAGAGGAAAAAATGGAAATCTCTGGTGACTCAAGAGAAAGGATATTTCTTTCTGCAGCTATGATCAGATTATATATGTCCAAACCCATCAGTGTTAGCCCTTGAAGAGAGCAGGGCCAAGGTGTATATTAGTACATGCTTATGGGTATTTCTTAGTAGAAGATTGACCAGTGTTATGTACCCCACACAGCCCTTTTTAGAAGCACCGTTCTTTAAAAAAATAGTGTGACTTTCAGGTTCAGAAGGAGGTTAATAGTTGGAACAAATGGAAGGTTTTTTTTTGTTTTTTTTTTTAACATCTTTTATAGCTTGAACGAGTATACTTTTTTGGTCCTCTCCAGAACCAAAAGAGGACTATTAGACTTATCATCAATTCAAAATATTCTTTAGAAATACTTCCCTAAATATAAGGTTCATGTCCATTGCCTTTATAAAGGTTTAAATTTTTTTCAACAGCTAATGAAGAGAAATATTTGGGTATTCAACCTTCCTTCATGTGAGTTTTATTAAATTATTTAACTAATGAAGAGTGATTTATATATTTCCCAAGCAGAGAGAGAATATACAACAGAGGGTATATAGAATATATGTACTAAAAAAGATATAAATGTTGATAATATTGAGTGATATTCTATTTCTCTGTGTCAGGAATTAAAATTTACCTGGAATAGTTGGTTCTCTTTTTTAAATGTTCTCAATGTGCCCTGAGGAAGATGTTCTATGCTTTTCCCTAGTTGTTCTGATAACAACCCTTTTGATTCAGACATTTTTCTTCACTTAAATCTTTTACTATAGGAATGTAAATCTAATTTTTAAAATTCTTCTGTCAATAAGAAGACTTATCTGTCTAGTACTACTCTTATAATAACCAGTTACATATTTAAACTTCATTAGGATAATCTTTGTTTTTCTTCTGATTTATTATTTTATTCTCATGGGCCCTAAATTTTATGACATCCACTTATCCTGGCCATTATATAGACTCCTATCCATTTCCCCCTATGAATCCTGCTGTAAAATATTCTATTTCTAACCTCTACACAGATTCTAATAAGTGACCAGTCTAGTCCAAAGGTAGTAGGTGGCATCATGACATTATAGAAAGAGGGAGGTTGCTGCCATTAAGTCAGGATTTAAATCTGAACTTGGTAACTTTCTTGTCATGTGACCTTGAGAAATTTCTTTCTCTGAGTCTCCAGGTGATGGAGATTTGTACTTCAGAGGGTTTCTGTGAGAACAAAAATAAAAGTGAAGCACCTAGCATGATGCCTGGTTTATAGAAGGTGCTCCATACATGTTAACGTTCCTTTCTTTTGTTCCTTTTATGTCATGTTTTGAGAATAGAACATTAAAGTACTGTATAAGTAGTATTCTCATGATAGCCATTCTTTATACATGACAGGGATTCTGCACCAAGTTCACTGCTTAAATTGAAGAATTAACTCCAAACTCATATTCTCATGATGATGCCTATGCTTTGACATTTACTGCCACCCTGCTAATTATTACTTTGTATAGATCCAATACAGTGGAGAACTTCTACTAACTCTGCTACTGTGCGATCCCTCCTCTCCATCATCCATAGGCTCCATAAGGCGTTCAGTCAGTTGCCCTCGGTCCATCTCTTCTCAATCACCATCCAGTGCAGACAACCGCCCCTTTTCTGCTCAACAAGTGATATCATCATCCCAGTCAGCTTCAGGGTCTCGGTCACATTCTTTAAACCGTGCTTCCTCCTACATGAGGAATCCTCCTCAAAGTAATGATGCCAGCTCTACTGACTCTCCGATGGTAAGTCTTTTGTTTTGCTCCCCTGAGATTAGCACTGTATTTAGGATTTAAGTGGCAAAAAGATTAGCTGGGAGGAGGACAAATTGAACTTCAGATCCTTTCTATAATTCAACTCATGGTCTCCTGGAATTTGGGTTTATTCATCTTTCTTCACCTATAACTGAGTATGGGCTCAAAAGGCAGACTTCACTGTATCACAGAATTTGAGGATGAACACTGATAATAGTATTTTATTTTCCATTTGCTGATGGAGTAGGATAATTTTGTTGAAAATCATCTGAGTAAATATGTGATTTTGCAGTGTACTGTACAGTATATCTGTAAATTTGGGGAAATTTGTTGTATGGAAAATTTTCCTTAATGGGACTATTGATTAATAGTTTAAAAAAATAAACTATTGGTAAATTATCCTTAGAGCACTAAAGTACGGCATTGTTTATAATGTTTTCTGTATATTAAAATATAGTATTAGTTTTATATATATATATGTGTGTATATGCATATATATATATACGTATATATTATATATATATATATATACGTATATATATATATGCATATACACACACATAAAACAGCATAAATCCCGGAGATTCAGTATTGAGGAAGTCAATGAATTTATTTTGCAACCAGGCTTACTTGTAAATGCTCAAATAGATATCTCTATGTACCTTCATATAGACCAGGGACTTATGTAATTTGTTTATTTAATGTGGAAGTTGCTTCCAAAGGGAAGAGTCTGAAGAATATAAGTGAATGAATTTCACTGGGTAACAATGAATGCTTTTTTTTCTAATCAAGAATTGCCTAAGGTATATGTAGAAAATGAAACTGACCAGGAAGTCTTTTTTAAACACTTGTATTTTTGTTTTAGTATTTTGAGCTACATAAAATGCAACTGTGTGGAAGTGTGAAAGACACTCTTGGGAAATCATACCCTTTTAATCCTAAGATTTTAATGCTAAGAATAAATGTAAAAACATTATTTTCTTCCTTTTTTATTGTTATTTTTTCAATTAAAAGTGCATCATTTTTACCTAGAAATATCTTTCAGATTATAGTGGCACAATGAAATAAGACCCCCTCCAAATATCTGTATTCTTTCAAATTTAAGAGTGAGTCTTTGCGGCAACTGAGACCAAAAGAACAAGAAGACGATCTAACAAGTCAGACCTTATTTGTTCTCAAGGACATGAAGATCCGGTTTCCAGGAAAATCAGATGCAGAATCATTACTTCTGATAGAAGATGTGAGTATTTGATGTATATAAAATACCAAGGAGCTCATACCTTTTTATTCTTCTTCTTAAAATATTAAAATTTATTGCTTTGGCATTATCCTCAATGACATAGTAAACTTAATTGATGTTCTTTTCAACCTCCACAAGCTTTAGAAGATACAGGGGTTATTTTAATTGTTATGATTCACAAGCAATTCACATTTATAATCAGCAATACAAAATATCTTTTAGTGTATAGTCCTATTTTAATGATGCTTCATCAAATGAAAATAATTAATGTTAAATAATTATTGCTCTTAATGATTAAAGACACATCAAGTTAAGCCTGCTTCTATAACGATTTAGAAAGATCTAATATGGAATGAGATAATAAGGAAAAAAGTGGGGCCATGGGCATAAAGTGTCAAGAATATTTGAATGTGACACCTTGCATGGTGTTAGTCAGATTTTGAAATGGCTTATGTTGTGTGTGTTTTCTTGTTACACAAGCATTTGCACCACCCAGTGGAACGTTCTAAAGTGTCAGAGTCCTAAAATTCACATTAAAGTCAATGACTTACTCCTAATTTAGAAAGAAGTTCCAAGTTATTTGAATATTTTTGGTGAAAGAGCATTTCTTCACTCAGTTCTATTTCTTCATTCAAGCATTCTTCCCAAAGTGTCATTCTTAGATAATTCCTCAGAATAGAACGTTATTTTCTGGTTTCCCTGTTTTTTTTGTTTTTATTTTTGTTTTTTTATCCAGAGGAGAAGGCACCATCTAGCGGCCAGTTGTAGGATAAAAACCACAGCCATACATTTGGCTTTTTTCACTTTTTAGCTTTACTTTAGGCCTGTCTAAAGCGCTGTCTAGAAACAAAACAAACAAAAAACAATAATAAAAAAGACTTTCTTAGTTAACAAATCAATAATGGCAATTTGTATTTTGTAGTCATAACATAGTTATAACCAAAATCCCCAAATATTATGCGTTGCATTTGTTATATATTTTTTAAAAAGTGAAATGGTATCTTTTTTGCAAATGAGGTGCTATTTGTTACATCAGGGGAAAAGGAAGAAAAATGAACATTAGTTATAAAGCATTATGCTAGATATATTTTTATTTACATATGTTATTTTATTTAATAAAGTAGGACGTCTTTGTACCAGACATTTTATTTCTATTTCTTAGAGATATAAATTATGTAATACCTTTCTGAATCAGCTAGATGAAAAATTAGATAATCTGAGAGTAGAACTAATATTTGTGGCTACTGTGATTGTTCTATAAAGAACGTGGATATAGGCTTATATAATTGATAAAAGATAATAATTATACAAGACATTAGATTATTTACTATATGTTTACTTATGCAGCAACTATTTTAATCTATTTATTATAATATATATAACTAGAATATATATTCAGAAATTTTGCAGATTTGCACAAAAAACAAAACAGGGGGCTAATGGAATCCTAATTCAATATAGGCTATCTTCTAATGTGTTATTCAATATTTTGTTACTGTGAATGATGTTGTAAATACAGTTCTTGGAATTAAAATGAAAAATCTATGTTTTGGGCTTCTTCCCAAACCTTATATTCCTGAAGACATTTGACTTTCAATCATTAGAGATTGTGTGCTTTTTTTACAGCAAAAAGAGAAAAGCTTTAAATTCAGATGGCTTCTTTATCTTACATTAAAAGTCTTTTCGCATGTCTTTTTTGAAAGTAGACATTCTTTATTGCAAATAGTATTATAGTGCTTTCATTTCACAAATTAATTAGATTAAATTTCTTAATGTTTCTCCTCCAAAACAGATGATTGATAACTGGAAGTATCATAAAACAAAAGTGGCTTCATATTGGCTCATAAAATTGGACTCTGTAAAACAACGAAAAGTGAGTAATGAATACCCAAAAGCAGGTTTGCTCTTTTGGATTATGTATTAAGCTAGGATCATTAAGCCACATTCATAATCAAACTATATAATTGCTCATCTGCTTACTCATTTCCTCAACAAATATTTATTGTGTATCTACTATGTTTCAGGCACTGTTCTAGCTTCTGAGGATAAACAAGTAGATTACAAAAAGATTCCATGGTCTCATAGAGCTTATATTCTAGTTAAGGTGTTTGACAATAAACCAATATATACTAGAATGTAAGGTAGTATTAAGTACTATGAAGAAAAATAAATCAGGATTAAAAAATTGAGAGAAAGTGACCTAAATGAAATGAGAAAAATACTATGCCGACATCTGTAGGTACAATGCATCAGGCAGAGGGAAGAGCAGATACAGATGCCCTGGGGTAGAAGTCAGCGTGATGTATCCATGAGACAGGAGACAACATTTCCTTATGTACAGGATAGTTGGTTTGTGCTGGTTAAGAGTGAGTGATGTGGAGGTGACAATTGGATAGATAATCGGGGGTCAGATCACAACTTTACAGGCCATGGACAGTCTTTGGGTTTTATTCCAAGTAATGAAAAACTACTGGAAAATTTTGAGCAGAGGAGTTACATAGTCTGGTTTATAATTTAGAAGGTTCATGAGAGCTACTTGTGAAGAATAGAACTAGGGGAGAGGGAATGTGGCAGAACAGAAGTAGAGACCAGGTAGGTTTTTTGAGTAACTGAGGCAAGAGCTAATGGTTGCTTAGCGAGGGTGGTAACTGAATTGGGCGGATGCTGGAAGAAAGAGCAGGGCTTTGTTGTTCCTGTTTTTTTGTTTTACTTTGATTTTGGTTTTGGACCTGCCACGGTTGATATACTGGTTAGACATCCAACTGAAGATATTGAGTGTGTAGGTGTATATATGAGTCTTTTAGTTCAGAGCTAAGGTTGCATATGGAGATACAAAATTTAAGGGTCACTAGGATATTTGAGCCTTGGAACTAGATGAGATTACCTAGAGAGTAAGTGTGGTTAGAAAAGAGAAGAGTTGAGGACTGAGCCCTGGGCCACTTCTATGTATAGAAATCAGAGAGATGGGGTGGAGGGATTAATCTAAGGGGACTAAGAAGGAGCAGCCAGTAAAGTATGAAAAACCATGGGAACTTGGGATCCTTGAGACCAAGTAAAGAAATTATTTCAGGGATGGAGTGATCAACTGAGTCAGATGTTGCTGATAGGAGTTATAAGATGAACACCAAGACTTGACTGTTGTTTTTGACAACTTGGAGGTTAATGGTTACCTGATCATAACAAATTCAGGGGAATGGTGGGGAGTAAAACTTGAATGGAGTAGGTTCAAGAAATGGGAAAAAGCACAGCTAGTCCAAGCACTTTTTCAAGGAATTTTGCTATAGAGGGGAAAGTTAAGTGTGGTGGTAGCTGGAGAGGTATGTGGGTTGAGGACAAGGTGTTTTTTTGTGTGTGTTTTGTTTTTAAGATGAAGCTATTTACACTTGTTAGTTGCTGATGAGAATGATCTAGAAGAGAGGAATGGTACAGGAAAGAGAGGTGATAGAAAATCCTCGAAGTAAGTAAGCTGGGAAGGTTTGTCCTACCAGGAACACTTATTCTAATAGGAGGGAAGGTAGAGTCTGTGGCATTGTGGTGGGAAGATGTGAAGGTTTTCCTCCAATGGGGAGGGGCTTTGGAGATTTTCAGAGACAGTGCAACATCTCAGAGAGTAGGTGAGGGGAGTAGCCAGCAGCCCGAGGGGCCCATAGATGCATTGCAACATTATCTGGGGGGAGATGTACTATTTTAGTAGCTTTAGTGAAGCTGTTGTATTCCTAAATAGTGCAAACTATTACTTCCCCTTTCTAGGATTTATTGCTAGTAAGCTGAAAGTTGACAGTGATCAGATAATGACTTTGAAGTTATGTACTTTCCTCTGAGTAAACTGAACTCATTATTAAGCATCAACTCATTCAACAAAGGACAACTTAGTGTCCTCTCATGTGCCAAACACTGTGCTGCTGTTGAGGAGGGTGTAACAAAGCTGGTAACAGAAGTAGATTGAAAACATACTGTATGTTAAGTCACTAACTGTGGCCTTATTCATTAAAATAAGGACCTCTTAGTGGAATTGGAACCCTGAATCTTTTCAAGTCCTTGTACTTTTTGTAACCTAGAAGATAGAAGAGTTTAGCTAAGTTGGTAATTAAAACAAAATAGATAACCCAGAAACAGATTAAAATACTTATATTAATACTTGATAAATGTGGCATTTCAAATCAGTGGAGTAAAGATAATTTTTTCCCCTAAATGATACTGAAACAATTGACTACCTATTGGTAAGAAAACTAAGTTGGAGCATTACCTCTCACCATATGCAGAAATAAATTCCAGATAGATGATAGTTTTATATGTAGAAAAATATTAAAAGTTTAAAAGAAAATACAGAAAGCTATGTTTATAATCTTAAAATGAAGAAACAACTTCATAAGGAAGACTTAGGTTTTAGAACCCAGAAATCGTAAAGGAGAAGAACGACATATTTGATGACATAAAAACTTAATGGGTGGCAAAAGGTGTCTTAAACCAGGTTAAAAGGCAGAAGTGGTGAGGAGAATTGGGTGGCAGGGGAAAGGGGTGGATGTTGAAGAGGACAGATGTTTGCAGCACATAAAACACAAAGTAGCACAAGTAAACCAATACTTCCTACCGATCAATCAGCAGAAGATATACTATCTTGTAAAGTTAATAAATAAAATGGAAAAGCATATAAAAAAGCCATGAAAAGACAATTTATGGATCTTCAAAGAGCCAATTAACACGTAACTAGATCTTGTCCTCACTAATGCTGAAGGAAAAGCAAGTAAAAAACATATCGGCAAAAATTAATAAGACATAATATCCAGTGATGGAAATAGTCTGGATAAAAGGGGCTTTATTATACTATTAGAGAGAGAACACATTGGTACAGCTCTTTAGAAAGGTAGTTTGCTGTATCTATTGAAGTTACAAATGTTCACAACTTTATGACTCAGCAAAACCACTTCCAGCATTCTGTCCTACAGAATAATAATCTGTATAAAATGTATGTGTAAAAGATTTATGCACATGAGCATTCACTGCAGTGGTATTTGTACAAGCAAAACACTTGAAGCAGCCTAAATATCTATCAGTAGATTTATGATTAAATAAATTATAGTACATCCATACTATTCAGTTGTGTTAAATTGAGTGCTATTCTGGAATCATAGATCTTAACTTGAGATATAGCACAAGATTATGACTTGTGACATATGCAACATATGTACATTGGTAAAATTAGCCAGATTTTACTAATCATGAGTGAAGAATATAAGCGATAAGCAGCCACCAAGTGCATGGTTTCTGGGAGGCCATGAGTCCATCAGCCGTCAGGCATCTCTTTTCATGTATGGGAAGCATTCTGGTTCAGAGTGATGAGTGCCAACTAAGTGTGGTTCACGTTGGCACTGAGGGAGCCTTCCAGATTTGGGTGGCTTTCATCTTTATTCTTCATTAGTTACCCATGCAGTCTTTGTGACCAATCCATTCTCTAGCCAGGTGAAATAAAAACCCCAGGTTTATTTACTGTGAGTGTTGTCCCATAGAACATTCTGCAATGACGGATATGTTCTGTATCTGTGATGTCCAATACGGTGGTCACTAGCTGCATGTGGCCATTGAGTGAGATCTTGAAATGTGGCTATTGTGACTAAGGAACTGAACTTTTAATTTTAATTAACTTAAATGTAAATAGCCAAATGTGTCTAGTGACTACTGCATTTAAGAGCGTGGATCTAGACAGACCACGTGTAGCCTTCTAAGTTCTTACATGAGAACCTTCTCAGTTATTTTCCTGCTGAGAAATTCTATCAGAGGGTTTGCAAGAATGTCCATTAAGGTCACCATTGCCTTGGGCATCTCAAGAGAGAGTGCCTTTTTCCTTTTCATATGCCATCTTATACCAAGATAGTAAATTAAACAAACAAGTTATACAGTAATATGTGTCGTCCTACTTTAAATCAGCACTCTGATTTTTACTGTTTTAAAAATATCTGTCTAGTGTTAAAAAATTTCAAAAATTAAGATATTTTATTTCTGGAGGATAGACTTACTGAGCCAGAGGAAGGAAAGTGGTAATATTTGGTGTCATGTTTCCTTTTGTTTTTGTATATTTCTGTTTTTTTTCAAGTGAACATAATCTTTTTAGAAATGAAAGAATGACAGGGAGACACAGGCATTTTTGTGAGGCCTGTCTGTATTCCCCCATAAGCAGATATTATCTTTC